GGTGGGTGGATGGGTCGGTGGGTGGGTGGGTGAAAGAAAGGAGGGAAGGAAGAAGGGAAGGAGGGAGGGAGAGAGGGGAAAAAGGAAAGAGAGGTGGAAGAATAGATGGCTGGAAGGAGGGAGAGAAGAAGGAAGGATGGATGCAGTGAAGGGTAGCTAGAGAGGTGGATGGAGAGTTTCACCAGGCTCCAAGCTTCGAAAGTCTAAGAACTGAGTCTGAGTCATCTGTGTTATCCAGCACACGGCCTGGTGCAGAGGGAACAGGGCTGAACGTGTTCACAAAACCAAACTCTTCCTGGGTACCCTCTAGGTACCAGACTCTGATCTGGGTCCTGGTGACAAAGTGATGACCAAGATGGACAGGATCCCTGCCCCCGGAGGATTATACTCTAGTGATGGAGAAAGGAACAAACACAAACAAAGAAACAATGGTAACTTCAGAGAGTGAGAGCGTCGGGCCTGGGAGCGAGAGGGAGAGCTTCTGTAGGTAGTGAGGCAAGACCTCTCTGCAGAAGCAGTGCTGAAACTGAGACCTGAGAGATGAGAAGGAGCCAACTCTTAGAAAATCTGGGAGAAGAGCATTGCAGCAGTGGGAACGGCAAATGCGAAGGCCCCAAGGTGGGAACATTCTGGGTCTGCTGTACAAAGAGTACAAAGGCCAGCTTGGCCTATTCTCAGCACAGCTAACAAGGGAAGGAGATGTAGGAAAAGATGCTGGAGAGGCCAACAGGAGTCAGATCACACAAGGCCTTGGAGGCCGTGGAAGGGAGCTGGCTTGAGTTTGGAATGCTGTTCTGGGAAGCCACTGACCTGATCTGATTCTCATTTCTAGAAGATCTATCTGCCGAGTAGAGAATCGTTTCTTGATAGAGGGGCAAGGGGAGGTCAAGAGTAGGAGTCCGTTAACTTGAATTATGGATCAAGCAGATGGCCAGAGAAAAGGAGTGACTGGTCCAGATTACTCAAGAGAGAACTCAAGGCTCCCTGTTCCCAGCAGGGCAGAGTCTTGGACCATCTCCATGCACTGGTGGGAGGATGTAGACTATCCACTGCGGGAGGAGTATGTGGAGCATTGGCTGTATCTCCCCGCTGGACCCAGAAGACACCAATGGATGTCTCTGCATTCAATAAACAGGTCATGGAAATAGAGACATGCTCATCTGGGGAATTTAGTGCAGCCTGACATCTGTGTTTGGGTCTCAGGCTCGACCACATGGACCACAGGTGATTAGGCTGAGTTGGCATCAGCCCTCAGTCAGGCCAAACAGATTCTCTCTCTCTGAAATTTGGAATTGGGGTGGTGAGAACCATGGGGCTTGGGAAATGCAAAGCAGCTGTAAGTGACAGGAAATCAAGGGGCAGAAGGGAGGGGCCCCTGGGGCTGGTGTGGACTCATGAGGCAAACCATGACAGGCCTGAGGGGGTCCCTAAGAGAAGGCTGAAGGACAGCTGAGGGGAGGGTTAAGTGGCTTGGAGTTGGCAGAGTCCAGGGGAAGTTCCCACCTAGCCCTGCACTTGAAATCCATGTCGGTCCCTGTGTCCACACAGTTACCACCAGCACCCCGTTCCCATCAAAGGGTTAAAAGCATGGGTGCTGGTTGGTTCAGAGCCTGGATGCCCCAGGCACTCTCGGAGCGACTTGAGAAAATGACTTCACCTTCTTGGGCCCTAGTTTCCCCTCCGTGTAAAATGGGGATAACTGTTCCTGTCTTGTGGGTATGTTGTGGGGAATCACCAACCTCGAGTGTGTCAAGGCTTAGAGAAGAGCCTGGCAAAGCCTAATAGCCCAGTAGCTGTGGGCTGTGGTTGCCAGCCTCCAAAATGGCCCCCGCGATCCTGCCTCCTGGTATTCGAGCCCTCGCATGGTCCCCTCCCACATGTGTGGGGTTTGGTCTGCATGACCGTCACTTCTGAGATTAGTTGTTATTTTTAGCTGATAAGTTTTGGGATAACTTGTTCGGCATCAATAAATAACTAATACATCAGTTATCATTACTATTCATATTGTTGTTGAAGTAGTCAGCTGTTGTTTTTGCTCATCCAGCATCTACACCACTCTCATCCGGTAAGAGAACTTCCCTTTGACCTTCCTGTGGGTACCCAGCTGTCTCCCACTCTCAGCCCAGCCCCGTGTTGGGTATATGTGCGGAAAAGTGTTAACACAGCAGGTCTGAGGCTGTGTCCTTAGAAAGATTGCTTGCAACGTTCGCCCTTGGCTGGGATCTGGGAACCTGAATTGTTTATACAATGGATATGGTTTATGCTGAACACCTGCTTTCCTTCTGGAGTCTGAAAGTTTGGTATGTGCTAGGCAGAGTGTGCCCATGTGACTAGCCCCCAATTAAAACCCTGGGCGCTGACTCTAACGGGCTTCCTGGTAGACATTTCACATGTTTTGTCACAACTTCTTGCTGGAGGCATTAAGCACATCCCGTGTGACTCCACGGTGAGAGGACCTGGAAGCCTGCACTTGGTTTCCTCTGGACTTTGCTTCACAAACCTCTCCCTTCTGATTCTGCTTTGTAGGCTTTTGCTGTAATAAATCTTAGCCATCAGTATGATGATATGCTGAGCCCTGTAAGTCCTCCTGGTGAGTCACTGAACCTGGGGACGGTCTTGGGGACCCCTGACACATCACCGAGTTCCATCCCTAAGGCCACAGTGATTGGCTCCTGGGATGGGTATGTGACCCAAACTGGCCCAGTGAGGTATAATCCTGGGTCTTTTGTTGCATCACTTTCTGCTAAGGTAGCTAAGTGACAGGATATAGGACTGGAGTGGCTGGGGGTTGTCTTTGCCCCTGTGAGGGGAAAGCCTGTCTGAGAATGAAGCTGATTTGGTAAACAGCAAGTCTAAAAGACAGAGGTACAAATCCAGATAATACTGCCAGGGCACCTGGATCCAGCCATTCCTGAGGCTCCATCCCTGAATTTTCTAGTTACGTGGGTCAATAAATTCGTTTTTGCTTAAGGCAACTTGGATTTGGTTTTCTGTCACTTGCAACCAATAGAGTCTTGATTAATACTAATATCAAAACTAGTAAGTTACTTGAGTGTGTTTTTGCTCCTCAAGAACTCAGCCAGAACAGAGAGACTAAGTTTGAAATATCGAGACAAATACAAATCCAGAGACCAAACTGCAGAGATCTGGATACGGAAAACAGATAGCAAGCTAGACAGGCAGTCAAGAACGTAGGGACACTGCAATGGGGAGGAAAGGCCCAGGGGAGACACGGTCCCGTGCCCAGGCTTACCCACACGCCCTTGGTTGGGGTCACAGTCACCAGCCCGTCCTGGAAGAAGATGTGGACCTGGCCCACAGCTGCAGCTTTGCCATGGCAGGCCCAGATGCCAGCGACCACACGGTACCAGGGGACGGTGTCCTGTAGTCCTGGGCAGTGGGAAGACAGCTCATAGACGCCAGAGTCGCTGATGGCACCGTGGACCCCATCGAAGGTGGTGAGGTTGGCATCCACAGAGAGAGAACAGACACCCTTGGGGACCCAGCAGTCCCGGACCCCGGCCTGAATCTCACAAACGCGGCCTTGCGGGCAGCTGGTTGCCTGGCATGTCAGGCCGGTGCTGGAGGAACAGGAACAGCTCTCGCTGCAGTCTGAGCTCAGCAGGGAGGAGTTCACCTGTGCACAGAAAGGGGCCAGGTTACGGGGCTGCGGTGGATTGCAACAGTGGCCTTCAACCTCTGGAACCATGCAGAGCCACTTGGCAGCAACCATTCTCATTAAGAAATGAGAGATGATTTCCCCTTCCCCAGATAAGCCCAGACCTCAAAAGACCTTATAGCTGCCCCGCACCCCCACCCTAGGGGGGCTAGCCCGCTGGAGGATGAGAGACTCGGTGGAAGAGAGACAATTATCCCAGCTGATGTCACCCCTCCCCAGCCAGCCCTCAGCTGACCCAGGGCTCCTAGAGACATGTGAGCAAGCCCAGGGGACAAGAAGAACCGCCCAGCGGAGCCCAGCCCAACTGTGGAGTCACAGAATTGTGAACTGAACAAGGAGTTTTTTCAACCCACCAGGTTTTGGGATAGTTTGTAACCCAGCCAAAGCTAACCGATACAGGTAGAGGTGAGCATTGGAGACAGTCCAGAGTCCTGGCACCCAAAGCCCACAACACAGAGCCCTGGAAACCCAATTCCAGGACACGACTTTCTCCTGGTTTTCTCCTATCTGACTGGCTGCCCTTCCTTCAATGCGTTTTCAAGTCCCTCCTCATCTCCCAAATCCTAACGCTACCTTGCCCAGGGCTCTGTCCTCAGGCCTTTTTCTTCTCTATCTAAATTTTCTACCTGGGGATCTCATCAAATCCCCTGAAAACTAAAAGCAGTGTCTTATCCTCAACTGGACCCTGAGAGGACGTTATTGGGACCACTGGTGAAACTTGAATAAAATCTTTAGATTAGATAATAATATTGAATCAATGTTCATTTCCTGATTTTGAATTGTACTGTGGTCATATAAATGAATTTCCTTATTCTTTTTTTTTTTTTGGTGAGGAAGATCAGCCCTGAGCTAAAATCTGATGCCAATCCTCCTCTTTCTGCTGAGGAAGATTGGCCCTGGGCTAACACCTGTGCCCATCTTCCTCTACTTGATGTGGGACGCCGCCACAGCATGGCTTGACAAGCGGTGCGTCAGTGCGCACCCGGGACCTGAACCCGGGCTGCCACAGCGGAGCGCGTGCACTTAACCGCTACGCCACAGGGCCGGCCCCGAATTTCCTTATTCTTAAGAAAACCACGCTCAAGTTTTTAGGAGTAAAGGGGCACTATGTCCACATCATACTCTCAAATCGTTCAGAAAAAACATGCACATATACGTATAGAGAGAGGATGATAAAGCAAACATGTCAAAGATCAACAGCTGAAGAACCCGAGCGGAGGGTATGTAGAAGCTCTTTGTGCTATTCTTGTATTCTTTAAGTTTGAATTCTTTAAAAATAAAAGTTTGAAAACTTTAAAAGAATAAATGTAATAAAACAAATAATACTGATGACTTCCACACTTCTATCTGCAGCCCAGACCTCTCCCCTGAATGCCAGGCTCACAAATCAAAGAAAGCTCCTAGCACAGCCAGGGTGGTCAGGGCTGGGCTAGGGAGGCCCAGGGCTGTGGGAATCCAGAGGAGGCACCTAACCCAGCCTAGGGGATCAAGGAGGGCTTCCTGTAGGTGGTGAGATTGAAGGAAGGAGCAGAAGTTGGCATCTCCTTCGCCAGAAGTCCTGGACTTCCAGACCCTCTAGTCCACCTTTTGCCCATTAATAAAACTGGGATGAATGAGGATGGGATGTGGTAACCCATCTTTCTTTGATCTGAGAAATATGCTTTTGAAGAAATAGGATGCCTGGTAGTTCAGAGGGTGGACCCAAGGCTGCTGGCATGAGAATCCGGCATCACCCCTTGCTAATGGGGAGCCTCGGGCTGACTTCTCTTTGTCATAATTTCCTCATCCGTAAAATGGGGAAAATAACAACAGTACCCATCTCACAGGATTGCTGTGATTATGAAATGAATTAACATCTGTAACAAACGTGGTGCACAGTAAGAGCTCAAAAAATAACAACAAAAATGAATCAACTATTAACTTGCAATTCACATTGTTAAACAATTGTTAGCGGAGCTAACACTGCACTATTGTAAATTGCTATTATTTTTACTGAGTGTGATGAACATGGAGGGCGAGGCCCAGTGCTCAGTGGGTGCCTTTGATGCACAACCGCACCTGATCCTCAGACACTTATGGTGCAAGATGAAGAAAATGTGGCTGAGGGAGGGGACTACAGTAGGCCGAATAATACCCCCCACCAAGGTATCAGGTCCTAATGCCTGGAACCAGGAATTGTCACCTTATATGGAAAAAGGCTGATTATAGATGTGATTAAATTAAAATCTTGAAATGGAGAGATTATCCTGGATTATCTGAGCAGGGCTTAAATGCAATCACGTGAATCCTTATAAGAGGGAGGCAGACAGAGATTTCATGTCACGCACAGAAGAGGAAGGGGAATGTGACACAGAAGAAGAAACTAGAGTGATGTGGCCACAAGCCAAGAAATGCCAGCAGCCACTAGAAGCTGGGAGAGGCGAGGAACGGCTTCTCCCCTAGAGCCTCCAGGGGGTGTGTGGCCCTGCTGACACCTTGATTTTGGCCCAGTGATACTGATTTCTGACTTCTGGCCTCCAGAACTGGGAGAATAAATTTCTCTTGTTTTAAGCCACCAACTTTATGGTCATTTGTCACAGTAGCCACAGGAAACTAACACAGGGACGTCACCAGCATTGAGTCACACAGGTGGGAAATGGTGGCGGTTCCTCTGTTCCCTCCTTGAGGGCATTGCACAGAAGCTCTGAGTCTCCCTCAAGCTTCTCCACGCTCCCTGCCCACCTGAAGCCCTTGCTCACCGGCAAGTATCGGCCATCATGGGTGCAGCCGCAGTCTCGGACGGGGATACAGACACCATCGGAGAGCAGGAAGCGGTCGTCGCACTCACAGCCCTCAAAGCAGCGGGTGGTGCAGCCCGTGAGGCCGGAGAGAGCGGCACAGGAGCCCTGGCAGGAGTGCGTGCAGAGGGAGTAGTGGCTGTGGGCAGGGCACTGGAGCGCTGCGGAGAGAGGAGACAGGAGACACGCGGGCACTGAACAGTGAGTGGGGCAACCGCACACTCAGCGCTGGGTTGGCGGTGCTGGGGACACCAGTGATGAAGAAGGCCCCAGGCCCCACCCTATGGAGCTCATATCAGCGGGACAGCCAGTGACGGCCCAGCATGATCAGGGCTGCACTGGGGAAGCGCAGACAGAGTGATTAGAGACAGGATGGGGCAAGCAGAGGCAGAAGGGTCAGGGCTGGGATGGGGCAAAAACAGGGAGCTGTGCGGATCCAGGGGAAGCACCCAGGAGGAGGCCCTGGGCTCTGGCTGAGTGGACAGTACGGCTGTCCCTGCCCAGAGATGAGGACCAGAGTCGAGAAATAGGAGGATCAGATTTGGGGTGAAATGCTGACATCATATGGGAACACAGCAGGTGTGAGGGACCCTAAAGACACCCAGAGGAAGGTGTCCAGGAGGCCACTGGACCCCTGAGGCTGGCAGTCGAGAGAGAGGTCAGAGCTGGAGACAGACACCATCCACTGTCAGCACTGAGGACAAATCTAAGGCCGAGGAGGTGGACGACAGCCCTGGACAGTCCTGCCCTGAGGAGAATGAAGGAGACACAGCCCTGCCCTGGGGGCATGAGGGGCCACTGCCTTGTCCTGGAGAGTCTGAGGGGACATGGCCCTGCCCTGGGGGTTTGAAGGAAACAGATAGCCCCTGTGAGGGGTATCTGAGAGGGAGAGTCCTGGGCTGGGGGTCTGAGGGGGCTGCAGCCTTGTCCTGGAGGATCTGAGGGGATATGGTCGCATCCTGGGGGGTCTGGGTAAGCCACAGGCTCAGGCTTTATTGTGTGAGCTTCCGACCCGCGGGACCTGCCCTCCCAAGTCACCACAGAAAGGGGCCAGGATGAGCCTTGAGGAAGAACTGCATCTGAGAGTTCAGGAGAGGGGGCCCTGAAAGGCCCAGTCAGCAGGGCAGGAGGGAAGCCGGGGGGAGCCCTTCCACGAGGAGGCGCTGCTCCTGAGATGCGGGCAGGACAGGGAGCAGGCCAGGGGCGCCCCCAGCCCGGCCTGGGGTCCTCTGAGGGCCCAGGGACACTCACGGCAGAAGCTGTCTGTCCTCCAGGCCTTCACGGCCCCGCCGGCCGCCTGGCAGGCCGCCGTGTAGGCCGCCAGGCTGCGGCACAGGAAGGCGCTGCTGCCCTTGTGGGCGCACAGGTCGGACACGCACTGGCGGAAGTACTCGGAGGGGCTCAGCACCCCGTGGCAGGCCGCGAAGGCGCCCTGGGGGTCCCGGAGCCGCCCGCAGGCCTCGGTGCTCTCATAGGGCGCTGAGGCCTCTGCCGAGCACACGGGGCAGCCCTGGGCCCCGCAACCCTCGCTGCAGCCCTCGGAGGAGCCGGCTCCCCGCCACGCGGCCCCAAAGGCCTCCACGCTGGCGGCCGCGGAGCCATCGGGCAGGACGAAGTCATCGCTCCAGTTGCCGTTGAAGTTCCCACAGAGGCCACAGATCCGGCCATGGAAGGGGCTGGGGATGGATATGAGGATGTGGGCATCGCCGTCAAAGAGAAGCCGCAGCCCCTTGGTCGTCTGCAGAACCACGTTCCGGCCCTCAGTGGTCACCCGCACATGGCCCACAGCCACAGGCAGGGCCACGACCTCGTCGTCCAGAGTGACCTGGGTGAAAGGGTCAGGTGGGTCATGACTCAGAACCACAGGTAAGGCAGTCCCCTCAGACTCTCAGGGTGGAGCTGCATCCCTCTCAGTGCCCTTGGGGCGGGGCCACGTCCCCCTGAGACCTCCAGGGTGGGCCATGTCCTCCACGGACTTCCCAGGGCAGAGTCCTGTTCCCCTCAGAGCCCCCAGGGCAGGGCTGTGTCCCCTCAAACCCCCAAAGGCAGGGCTATGTTGCTTTCAGATCCCCAGGACAGGTCTGTCCCCTTGGGGGGGGACATCTCTCCTTCAAAACCCCTAGGGTGGGCGGTTACCCCTTCAGGTCCCCAGGGCAGGGCCATGTTCACTTACCTGCAGCCCCTGAGCCAGGCCCACAACCTGACCAGCCACAGTAACTAGCAGGCGTCGGGGGTCTCCGGCCTCATTCTTCTCAAGCACGATGGCAAAGTCCTCGTCCTCAGGCTGCGGGTGGCAGACTTTGGCCAAGACATAGGAGCAGGAGCCATGCAGGTCATAGACACGTCCATCAAGCGTGACGTAGTGGATGCCCCCATTGACCAGGCAGTGGCCACAGCCAGTAGGATGACAGGCCTGGACACCATCCTCTAGCCGGCACTCCTCGTAGGGCCCGCAGGCCGCGCCCTCCTGGCAGCTGACTTGGCCGCCCGGCCCGCACTCACAGCGATGCTCGCACTCAGGGCCTGGGTAGAAGGCCTCGCCCAGCGGGTAGTAGCGGCCGTTGTAGAGGCAGCCGCACTGGCCCACTGGCACGCAGGTGGCACCACTGAGCACGAAGCCGGCGTCGCAGACGCAGCCCTCACGGCAGGTCGGCTCACAGCCCTCGGGTGCCGAGAGGCTCGGGCAGCTCACAGGGCAGGAGTTCCCGCAGAGCTCGTAGTGGCTGTTGGCAGGGCACAGGACGGCTGTGGGGACAAGGCGGGAGTGAGCCAGGCAGGCGTGAGGGTGGGGGCAGGGGGAGCCACAAGAGGGAGAACCTGCCCGGTGGGTCTGTATGTTTTGCCTGAGCATATTCCACAAGTGAATCTGCCCAGGGATCTGAGCCGGGGTCTGATCCACTACATCTGCCTGGGGGACTTAGTGTGGGATCTGGGGACCAGGTCTCTCTGACCAGGCTGTGTGTCAACCCGATGGAGCATTTCTAAAGATCAAGTGACTCTGATGGGGCGAATTTGACCATGTCTATCTGACCAAGAGACGAAGGATTAGAACCAACCGTGTGTGAATCTGACTGGGGTGTGGGGCTGGATGTATCTTGGGGTATGAACCCGCCCGAGTGTGCCTGGCTGTGGATGCCTGACCTGGAGCCTCTGATGGAGTCTCTCTGACAGGGTCTGTGTCCGTGTGTGAGTCTGACCACGTGTATCTCATTAGGGAAAGCTGACAGGATAAATCTGATGGAGGAGATCTGCCCAGGACTATGTGACCATGAACCTGTATGTATCTGCCTGGGGCTATGTCAGGGTCACGATTCTACGTGGGTATACCTGCCCAGGCGTGTCTCAGTGTAAATCCAACCAAGTGTCTCTAACCAGAAGAGTGCCTGTCTGAGGTTACTGCACCAATTCTATCTGACCCTGTGTATTTCAGTGAGTGACAGCCTACAGGCACCAGATCTGATGTAACTCACTAGGTTTCTCTGACCAGGGGTACCTGACAGACTCTTCTTGACCAGGTGTATCTCGCCATGTAGCTTTGACAGGGTGAGCCACCCCTGTCTATCTGACTAGGATATCTGAGCCGCATGCATCCCCGAGAGTGGACTGGACCCACGGTTTCTGGCCAGGTGTATCTGAGTCTCTCCCATTGCATACCACGTGACCTGGTGTATTTCAGTGTGTGGCTGCAAAGATGTTTCTTTGACAGGAGATGTCTGACTCAGGGGATGCAGCGTGGAGCCTAAGCCCCACGGAGGAGGAGAGTCCTGCGAAGGGGAAGGCGGGGGGACCCCCACTATGCGGACCATGCATGCACGCATCAGTACTCACGACAGAAGTCCGGCCGCCTCCACTCGCCGAGCTGGGCCCCAGCGGCCTGGCAGGCTGCCACGTAGGCGGCCAGGGCGGGACAGAAGCCTCCGGGATGGCCCTGAGCCTGGCAGGCGTCCAGCAAGCAGCCCTGGAAGTACTGCGCGGGCGGTACCAGGGCGTGGCAGGGCGCCAGCACGCCGTCAGTGGCCGAGATCACGCCGCAGGCGTCCGGGCCTCCGAAGGGCTTCTGCTCCTCGGGCGTGCAAGGCTCCGGGCACGGCGCGGGCACGCACTCCCCGCAGCCCGCGGCGCCGCCCACCTGCCAGCGGCTCGGGTCCCCGCCCACCGCCTTTAGGTCGTCTGCCGGGTCCCGGTTGTAGTTCCCGCACAGGCCACAGAGGGCGTCCGCGTACGCCGCCGGCACGCGCAGGCGCACGTTGCTGTCCCCGTCGAAAGCCAGCGAGAGCCCGGCGGCCGTGGTCACCACTACATCGGCGCCGCTCACGTACGCGCTCAGGCGCGAGTCCAGCTGGAAGGGCAGCGCCACGAACTCGCTGTCCACCTGCGGGCGCGGGGTGGGGCTGGGGGTAGTGATCGGAGCGGACAGAGGTTCGAATCCGGGCTCCACTACCTACTAGGGGTGGAACCCTGAGCTCGTGACCGCCCCCTTTGTAAAAATAATAATAATAATAGTAATGAGCATCTATAGACACGGTGTACCTGGCTCCTCACACTACCCTCTGCAGCAGGTTCTTTTCTTAGACCCACGTTACAGAGAAATACACTAAAGCTCAGAGGTGGGGAAGCCACTGCTCCAAGCCATCTGGCTCAGAGGTCTATACCCTAACTGCTCCATCACACCCCCCATCATGCCCCCGCTAACCTGTGAAAGGTAATCAGGGCAATGGCAGACTCCTCCCTGTCCCAGGCAACCCCAGGGCTGGCATGAGCTCCCGCCTGGCCCACAGACCCCTCACCTGCAGCTGCCGGGGCCACTGGGCACTGAGGGTCAGGCTGTGGTTGTACAGGTGCAGGGTGACGCTGCGGGTGTAGCTGACAGCCTGGCTGCCCCGGTGCTCATTGGTTACAGTGACTGTGAAGCTCTCAACTCCCGTGGATGTTGCATTGCAGGGCGCGCTCAGCAGGTACTCGCAGGTGCCTTGGAAGTCGAATCGGTTCCCGTCCAGGGTGATGTAATGGGGGTCACCCCAGGCCTGACACTCAGCCGTGCTGACAGGTTGGCAGCCGTACTGGCCCGAGGATAGCAGGGCACACTCTTCGCCTAGCCCGCAGCTGGCAGCCTCGCAGACCAGTGAGCCACCCCCAGGCCCGCAGCGGCACCACTGGGAGCAGGTGCCGTCAGCCCAGAACTCGCTGCCTGCCTCATGGTAGGTGTTGTTGGTCCAGCAGCCGCAGCCGCCATCCAGGGGAACGCAGCGGTTGGCACTGAATACGAAGCCAGAGTCACAACGGCAGCCCTCGGCGCAGGGGCCGTCACATGTGGCTGTGGTGGTGGGGGATGCAGGGGATGGGCAGCTGGCCGGGCAAGGCGGGCCACAGAGCTCATAGTGGCTGTTGTCAGGGCAGGGGATCTCTGTGGGTGGATGAAGGAGTGGGAGGGAGAGAAAGAGAGAGAATGGTGTTAGGGGGTGGGGTCTGAGGATAGGGTGGGAGGAGCCAGACTGAGAGACTTAGAGGGACAGACAGAGAGAGGGAGATAGGACAGAGGCAGAGAGATGGAGAGAGACAGAGCAAGAGACACAGAGGACAGAGAGACAGAAAGAAAAAGACCCAAGCAGAGACAGGGAGAGAGAGAATGGGAAATAGACAGAGAGACAATCAAAGGGAGACACAGAGATAAGTGCCAAGGGACTGAGAGACAAAAACAAAGAGAGAGACAGAGAGAGAAAGAAACAAACCGAAAGACCAGAAGGACTGGGGTGACACCCAAGCAGCCCTTCAGGGACAGAACCCCGGCCCCCAGCTCCTGCTCGGCTCCCCCGGCACTCACCACAGCCGGTCTGCTTTCTCCAGTCCTTGATGGCGACCTCAGCAGCCTGGCAGGTGGCAGCATAGGCAGCCAGAGCCTGGCAAAGGATGTTGCGGGCCCCACCACCCAGGCAGACATCCAGAACGCAGCCCTTGAAGAAGCTATCGGGAGCCACGTAGGCATGGCAGGTGGCGAAGGGGCCTCCCGAGCCAGAGGCCAGGGGTCCACAGAAGCCAGGACCCCCGTACTCCTCCAGCTTGTCCTCGGGGCATGTTGGGCAGGACCCGTGACATTCGTCCCAGCACAGTGGGTCCCAGCCTGGGACTCGCCAGCTGCCACCCCAGACCGGGGTCGAGAGAGCCAGTGTGCCGTTAGGAAAGGCTTGGTCGTTGCTGGGGTTTCGGTCCATGTTCCCGCAGAGCCCACACACTGCGCTGTCATAGCTACTGGGCAGCGTCACCTCCACTCGCCAATCCCAGTCGTAGGTGACCTTCAACCCGAAGTCGGCTGTCAGCACCGCTTTTGATGCGCCTTGGATCACTGAAAGCCGCCCACCGGCCACAGAGACAGGCAATGCTGTCAGCACACCGTTCACCTGGGGGAGGTGGGGAAAGAGAGGCAAACAGAGGTCACTCAAGGTGGGCAGGCCCCAGCTCTTGTCCTGCCATGGCGGAGCTGCCAAGGCCTTCCTCTCATCTGACGGTTGTATAGTCATTTGACAGACGTTATAAACATTTGCTCTAGTCCGGGCCCCGGGGAATGAAACCTCACTCTGCTTCTTTTTCTGGGTCTCTCTCTTGATCTCCATCTCCCTCCCTCCCTCTCTCCCTGTCTCTTTCTGTTGTCTCTCCCTCTCTCTACATCTAGATCTATCTCTCTTTCTGGATCTCCCTTTCTCTCTCTGGGTCTCTCTCTCTCTGGATCCCCCTCCCCTCTCCGGGTCTCCCTCACTCGTGCACTCTCTCTCTCTGCATCTGTGTGTGTGCACTCTCTGGGTCTCTCTTTATCTGGGTCCATCTCTCTGGGTCTTTCTCTGCGTCTCTCTCCCTCCCTCCCTCCCTTTTCCTTCCCTGTGCATCTCTGTGTCTGGACATCGCTTCCACTCACTCACCATTCTTCTTCTTTTTTTTTTTTTTGTGAGGAAGATCGGCCCTGAGCTAACATCTGCCAATCCTCCTCTTTTTGCTGAGGAAGACTGGCCCTGGGCTAACATCCGTGCCCATCTTCCTCCACTTTATATGGGACGCTGCCACAGCATGGCTTGACAAGCAGTGCGTCAGTGCGCGCCCGGGATCCGAAGCGGCGAACCCCGGGCCACTGCAGCGGAGCACGCGCACTTAACCGCTTGCGCCACCGGGCCGGCCCCTCACTCACCATTCTTTATTGAGTGCCCACCCTGTTCCATACCTCACTCTCTCCTGTGAGCTACCGTTAATCTGCATCTCCACGATCCTGAGCAGGAGGGGTGGCCCACCTCTCTCTCTCCACCTCCCTGAATTTTGCTCCACATCGAGGTCTCTGGGCCTCTCATTTGTTCCCTCACAAACATTCACGGGGGCTCACCCGGGGAGACCCTCAGCTGGCACTTTACATACGCCACCTCACTGTGGGGCAGGGCCTGCCCTGATCCCAGTTTCACAGATGAGGAAACTGAGGCCCGCCATGTAAAGTCATGTGCCCAACATCACACAGCGCATAAAGAGAGCCTAGATTCAAACCCCAGTCTCCATAAGGCAAATGCTAGAGGCCTGTGTTAAAGCCCTTAGCCTTTAAAGGGCTAGGCTCGTTTAATTCCCAATAAAGGGGTGATGTTTTTGCTGTAATTATTGTTGCTTTGGCTGCCCTTTTGTTTCAGGCCTACATGAAGAGAGAACACGTTGAGCTCCTACCTGTGGCTGGTAGGACCCCTCCCGCCCTACGGGGGGCTCAGGGGACCATCCCATGGGACTTACCCGGACTTTGCCAGTCTCGCCCTTGTGGATGGAGATGTTGGTGCCGAGGGTAGTGACGGTGACGAGCCTCACATAGGACACAGTGGGGTTGCCCCGGTTCTCATTCTTGGTGGTGACAGTGAAGGGTGGCAGGCCCTGGGCGCTGAGCCCAGGGCATTTGGTGGTCGCCAGCACGTAGTTGCAGGTGCCCTGGAAATCGAAGTCCCGGCCGTCGAAGGAGTGGTAGTGTGGGTCGCCCCACAGCCAGCACGTGGCCTCGTAGTTGGGCACGCAAACGGCCTGGCCACACTTCTCCTGGCACTTCTCCTGTGGCCGACATGTCACACCGTGGCAGGGGTCTGGGGCAGAGGAGAGAGGACTTTGAGGGGCTGCCCAGCATCTGCCCCAGTATGTGCCAGGGATACTGGCTCTGAGGGCTGCCACACGTGAGACCAGATTCCAGGGTCCCCACATCTGAGACCCAGGACCCGAGGTCTGTCCAGCCAGAACCAGGCCTAGAGTCCCCACATCAGCATCTAGCCCCGGGGTCCCCTTGCTTGAGATCTCAGCCCCAAGGAACTCAGGTCCGAGACCAGAGCCCCAGGGGTCCCTGCATCTGCGATGCCAGCCCGGAGGGCCTCCCTGAGGGCACCCACAGCCCCAGCGTTCTCTGTGTTCAAGACCTGGGCCCCACGTTTCTCATGCCTGAGCTCCCAGCCTCCTGGGGGCCACCACATCTGAGACCCAGGTCCTGGAGGTCTCTGTGCCCAAGACCATGGTACTGGAGGAACTTTCTGATGAGAACCTAACCCCAGAAGTCCCAACATTTGAGCCCCTGAACCTGGGGTCTCCGGATCTAAGTCTCACGGCCATGCAAGACTCTATTCCTGGAATTGCTACATCTGAGACCCTGCCTTGGGGATCTCATTTCTGCCCTAACTTGGAGGGTCTCTTTGTCCAAGACTCTGTTCCTGGGGCCACTCTGTCTGGGACCCCAGTTTTTGGAACCCCTATGCCCAAGACCCCAGCCTTAAAACTTCCTCCTCTGCCGTTTTCTATTGATTGCCTCTCAACTCCAAACCCAGTGATAGCTCGGCTTGGTCAGTAGAGGGCGCGGGAGGGTCACTGCAGGAGAAAGGGGCTCCTTGTCCTTCCAGTGTGCTCTGCGCTCCCGGCTCCTGCAGGCCTCCTGCAGGCGAGGGAGGCTAGCGGCATGTAGGACACTCACTCAGCGAGGTCCACTGGCCCCAGCTGGCTCCCCAGTGAGTCAATCAGGCGCCCTGCCGGGCGGCTTCTCAATCAGTTTTGCTAGCACCCCAGTGGGGGTTTCCCACGTGTCAGCTCCAGCCTGCACAACCTCTCTGCTGTCCAGCGGGCTACAGCCACACCCTCCAGTGAGATCTGCCTCCCAGCCGTGGGGTGGGGGCCCTCTTCCCAATTCCCCCCTTCCTTGGGTGCTCTGCTTTTGCCTGAGGGGCAGAGGCTGCTCCCTGTATCTGCTCATCTTGTGTTCTGTCATGTTCTTTTTACCCCTTAGCAGATAATAGTCTATTACAAGTAAAGAATTCCTTATATTAAAATTTCCTTACTCAAGCTACTGTGTGGTCTCTGTGTCCTGGTTGGACCCTGACTGGTGTACCCCCATCCCTGGAAGTCCCTCTTATCCTGCCCCTTGGCCCTAAGGGTCTCAGTCCGCCACCTCTCAGTTCTGGAGGTCCCATTCCCTTATCCTTGGGAATAAGGGAATTATTCTCTGTCTTTCACCCTAAGAAACCAGTCCTGGGGGGTGGCTCTGTGTCATAGACTTAATCTGGGGGGGGGTGTCCCATGTCTGAGACTGTATCCCTATAAATCCTGATCCCCAACTTGAGGAGGGCCCCTGTATCCAGGACCCTGGTTTTGGTGGGGTCTCTGCCTGAGACCTCAGACCTCTGCTTTCTGCCTCTGTCCTGGGGGTCCCAGTCTCCCCTAGCCCTTGGGGATGGTGTCTGAAGCCCTGAGTCTAATCCCGCATACCAGTGGTCCACAAACTATGGCTCCACTAGCTGCCTGTTTTTGTAAATAAAGTTTTATCGGAGCCACGCCCCCTCACTTACATAGTCTACACTGATTTCATGCCACAATGGCAGAGTTGAGTCCTCGTGATGGAGACCATACCGCCTGCAAGTGTAAATATTTATCATCTGGCCCTTTAGAGAAGAAATTTGCCTGACCCTGCCTTATGCTGAGGGTCTCTGACATCTGCCCTGAAGGTCCCCACAGCCCGGATTCCACCGTAAGGGTCCCTGCCTCCCAGCCTGGAGGGTCTCTGCCCCTGGCCCTGGGAATCCCAGGTCTGAGACCTCTGTGCCTCCCATCGTGAAGATTCAGGCCACACCGCCCTCCGCTCCAGAGTCCCTGTCCTCTGTTCTCAGCCACACCGGCCCCGGCCCCGGCCCAGCACCTTTGGTGACACAGCTCAGGACGCCTCCGGAGGGCTGGCACAGCTGCCCCTGCTTGCAGCTGTGGTCCTGGCACACCAGGCCTTTTCCAGCGTGGCACACGCACTGCTGCCGGCAGCTGTCGATGAGTACCGTCTGCTCCGGCTGTGGGGACAGAGGGCACAGAAGTCAGGATGGGAGCTCACTCGAGCATCTCCAGTGTCCCAGGCACAGAGCGGTCCGAAAGACATGAAAGGGACCTCTTTCAGCAGAGTGGCCCCTTGTCTGTGAAACTAAGGCACAGCGTGGCCTTGGGATCCAATTCATTCATTCATTCATTTACTCATTCATTCCTTCATTCAAAAATATCCACTAAACACTTGCTGTATAGGAGAAACAGTGCAACATATAATTAGGAGCAAAGGTTCTGGAGCAGATTGCTGGGTCTGAAGCCTGTTTCTGCTATTTCCAAACTGTATCACTCTGTGCACATTACTAAACCTCTTTATGTCTCGGCTTCCTCATCTGTAAGTTGTAGATAATAACAGCACCTACCTATGTAAGTATAACTGAGTTCATTAGACATATAAAGTACAGATAAAATGGAAAGGAATTTCCTTTAAATAATCCAGACTGGAGAGGAAATGGGGGTAGAGACGCAACAAGATTGGGAAAATGTTGATTATTTTTAAAGCTGAGTGACAGGGCCGGCCCCGTGGCTTAGCTGTTAAGTGCGCGCACTCCGCTGCTGGTGGCCCGGGTTCGGGTCCCGGGCGCGCACTGACACACCGCTTCTCCGGCCATGCTGAGGCCGCGTCCCACATACAGCAACTAGAAGGATGTGCAGCTATGACATACAACTACCTACTGGGGTTTTGGGGAGAAAAAGGGGAAAAAGGGGAGGAGGATTGGCAATAGATGTTAGTTCAGGGCTGGTCTTCCTCAGCAAAAAGAGGAGGATTGGCATGGATGTTAGCTCAGGGCTGATCTTCCTCACAAAAAAAAAAGAAAAAAAAAAAGCTGAGTGACGAGTACATGGAGATTTATTATACTGTTCTCTTGACTTTTGCATGTTTAAGAATTTTCATAATAAAAAGTTTATATATAATGCAATATATATGTATATTGTAATGCACATACATTATACGTGTGGGTATATTGTAATGTGTCTATATATATGTAATTATATCCATATAATATATATATAGCACTTAAAGCAGTAGCCGGCACATAGTAAGCACATCTTCCTATTTGCTGTTATTACTATTATTATTCAGATGAGGAGAACAGCAGAAGGTCCCTGCCCTCACAGAACTCGCAGTCCTGTGAGGGAGATAGATTTTAGACAAACGCACACTCAAACCAAAGGAAAAGGCATAAGTGAGAGGGTGGGAGAGGGACGGAGTGAGCCGTTGGTGTAACACAGATGACTCTAGACCTGGGAGACAAAGGCAAAACTTGGCCTGGGAGCCAGGCAGAACTTAAGGTTGCAGGACCCATGGTCATATTAAGAAAGGTCTTACCCGCTGCCGGGGGACAGTGGACCAGAGGGAGCAAAAGTGAAGGCTGGGAGGCAGCCAGGTGGGAGAGGACAAATGAGACCATGGTGGGGCCACGAGGAGGGGAAGCCGGGTGAGTGGTAGAGACATTCAGGAGGCCAGTGGACAGGTTGTGGGGCTGACAGGCTGTGGGAGGGGGGTCCAGGATGAGGCCTAGCTCTGCCCGGGATGACCGGGTTCCTACCTCGTAGTAGGCACCGTCGTGGTAGCAGCCGCATTCCTGGATGGGCACGCAGGCTTGGCCATCATTGAGGAAGCCAGAGTCACACTGGCAGCCCTCGGCACAGCTGTCCGGGCACTGCGAGGGGGCGCTGAGTGCAGCGCAGCCCAGGGAGCAGGTGTCTGCGCAGATCTCGTAGTGGCTGTTGGGGGGGCACTGCAATGCTGAAAAGACGGGGTGTCGGTCAGAGCCCCTGGGAGGGAGGGGCTGCGGGGCCCAGGGTCTGCCCCTGCTGGGCCCACACCTTCCCCTCTCCCTGCCCCTGAGCCTCCCCCTCTGTCTGCCCCTCACTCACGACAGAAAGATTTGGTCCTCCAGGACTCGACGTGGCCTCCAGCTGCCTGGCAGGCGCTCACATAGGCGTGAATGTTGTTGCAGAGGATGCTCTCGTTCCCACCACCCACGCAGAGATCAAAGACACAGTTTTCCAAGGGACCCTGGGGATCCAGCAGCTTGTGGCAGGCGGCCAGCGGCCCCGTGGGGCTGGTGAGGAGCCCACAGAACTTCTCCTGCTCGTACTTCTCCTGCAGCTCTGGCTTACACTCCGGGACTGGGCTGCAGTCCTTGTCGCCCGGCGGGCAGGTGGGCTGTGGCTGGCAGGGAGAGCCGGGCACCACCTCCTCCCAGGAATTGCCGAACTCGTTGGGACTGCCTGCCTGCGAGCCGTCGGGCTTCTGGAAGTCGTCCTTGGGGTCGCCGTCGTAGTTCCCGCACAGGCCACACAGCTGCCCGTGGTAGTTGCCTGGGACGGTGACCCGCACGTTGTACGAGAGATCATAGGCCACACGCAGGCCAAAGTCGGTCTCGATCACGACATCAGAGCCATGCTGGAAGGCGCGGACCAGGTCCTGGTCCAGCACCACGGGCAGCTTCATGTCCACACCGTTCACCTGGGAGGTGGGAGGTGGCATGCTTCAGAGGGTGCACTTCGAGAGGGCAGACCCAGCTCAAGCCCTTGCCTGACACTGAACATCTGTGTGACCTCACCTTTCTCGGCCTTAGTTTCCGTATTTGTAAAATGGGCATAAAATGACCTCATTCGGAATGAGGGACTTTGCAGATGTAATTAGGGTAACGATCTCCAGATGAGATCATCCTGGATTAGGGTGGGTCATGTCCAATGATGAGTGTCCTCATATGAGGCAGAAGAGAAGACAGAGACACACAGAGGAGAAGGCCATGTGAAGACAAAGACAGGGATTGGAGTGATGCGGCCACAAGCCAACGTTTTACGGCAGCCACAGGAAACTAAGACATGTCTCCGTGGGTAACCACCTGCCCAGCTCTCCTTCATCCCTCACTTCCTGCGGGGATCAATAACGCAGGGAGGGACTCCAGAGCCGCCAGCCTGGGTTCAAACACAGCTCTGCCCTGGCTCTCTGTCACCTTGGGCAGACAGGCCACCTCTCTGTATTTCTGTTTCCTCATCTCCTGAGCGGGAATGAGGTACCTACCCCAGAGAGCTGTCATCAGGATTAGATAAATCAACATTTGTAAAGTGCTGAGATTGTGTCTGGCACAGAATGGGTGCTCTGGGAGCCTTTGCTATTATTATTAGCTTTGATTGGAAGTCTTTATTTTGAGGAGTGAATGGGTGCTAAGGATTTTCACTTTAAGCATCAGTTGTGGGAAGTCAGGCTAAATTCCTGGGGAAATGAACTTCAAATCCGTGAGCCAAGAACAAGTGGTTTCAATTGAAGGCTGCTGGGCGCCCACAACGCCTTATCACTCCACCCCTGATAAACGCGGCTCAATCGTCCTTCCGGAACGCAGACACGATGAGCGTTAGATTCTTTTGGAAGAGTGAGGACTCAGAGGAGAAGGCAGGAGAAAGACACGCCCCTGTCCAGATCACCTAAAAACATAGTCAACCGCCATACTTCCCAAGCAGGGACGGGAAGTGGTTAAGAAAGGGCTTAACCTCTGTGCCTCAGTTTCCTCATCTGTAAAATGGGGATAATAATAGTTTCCACCTCATAGAGAAGCTGAGGGATTCAGTGAGAGGCAAATAGCAAGAATACCAGCAACTTATATGTATTGAGAGCCAACTATATATCGGGCGCTGTTCTAGGGGCTGCGCCACATCAGAGACTATATATATTAAAGCATCTAATGCATGTCTAGTGCATAGTGAGCCCTGAAAAAGTCAGCTATTCAGCAGCATCCTCACCGGCAATACTGCGACTAGTACAGCAGCCATGTGCCTGCATTTTAGTGGGGTCTCGGGGAATCCCTCCAGCATAAGGGAAATGCCAGTTTCCACGAGACCAAATCCTTCTGGGTCGGGAAAGCACCATGGGGCGCCCAGGGTCCAGCGGGCCGTCTCGCGGCACGCCATTCTGGTTCCAGTTTTGCCTTCCCTGGGGAACTCTGAGCCAGTGATGGGCCCTCCTCCTCTAAAAGCAAGGCAAATCATGGCACCTCCGGCGACCGTTGCGAGGATAAAATGACGCTGTGGATGTGAAGTGCTTAGCAGCCAAGAAGATCTGGGGTCAGCTGTGTAAAAACTGGCTGCCGTTATTGCTATTGTTATGTCGTTAAGGGGTGATGGGGTCACCCATAGATGGCCCTCTGCGCTTGAACCTTTCCCATCCCCGAACTTTCCCAACTTCTGATTGCATCACGTTCTGCCACCGGCCGGGAGACCAGGGAGGCGGCTGGAGTAGGAACCAGGTGCAGGGGAAGATGGAGTGCAAGGGAGAGATGTTCAGCGGGGATAGCCAAGGGGCAGGGAGAGGGGAGACTGCGAGGCAGAGAGAAGGGGAAACTGAGCCACATGGGAGCAGGTCCCAGGTCCCCAAGGCCTCCTTCCTCCTCGGCCCACCTCTCTGTGCTCTAACGGGCACCTCCACTCCTGGGGACCCCATGCCTCCCACATCCGCTCCGAGCTCTGTGCTCCCTGCCCCGTGTCCCACGCCCAGATCGCCCTCTATCCCAGGCGCCCTCCCCTTCGTGCTCTGCCCCTGCTCTCACCGTGACCTTCCACTGACTCTGCTCCAGCTGTAGGGTGAAGTTAGCCACCTGGACACTGATGGCCCTGGTCACGCTGACTTTCCCATTGCCCCAGGGTGCATTCTCCTGCAGGACGGCAAACTGGTGCAGGCCAGGCCGGGTCCCGCAGGTCTGCGCCAGCGCGTACACGCAGGTGCCCATGAAGTCGAAGCGTTTGCCGTCGAATGTGGTGTAATGGGGGTCTCCTGACGCCTGGCAGGTGGCAGAGCCCACAGCCACACAGCCCAGGACGCCATTGGACGGCTGGCAGGCCTCGTGCGGGCCGCAGGAGGAGGACTCACAGGACACCAGGCCATCCTCCTGGCAGTGGCAGAGGGAATTGCAGTCCGGGCCGGGGTAGAAGGTCTGGCCTGGTGGGTGGTAGGCACCCTCGTATACGCAGCCGCAGGAGGACAGGGGCACGCAGGACTCACCGCTGAGCACGAAGCCCTCGTCGCACACGCAGCCCTCGTGGCAGTCGGAGCCGCAGCCCCTGGGCACGGGGAGGTCTCCGCAGGACAGCGGGCAGCCGTAGGAACACGCCTCGTAGTGACTGTGGGCTGGGCAGCCCAGCGCTGCAGGGAGAGCGGCCGTCAGGATCCAGAGCCCCACTCCCCGGGGACACAGCTGACCCCCCCGCCCCGGCACACACGCACGTGCACACACATGCTCACACACACTCAAACATGAGGGGTCCGGCTCCAAGAAGCCCCTCTGTTCAGTGAGGCCTGGAGAACAGAATATATCACAGTGAATCTGATCCTGATGATTAAGATTATCTTCCACTTTAACCGTGGTTTGGGGTTATCTGTAATGTCTTTAATGACCTTACTCAACTTGGTAACAAGTTGTGGACGTGTGGTACACATCTTTTTTTGGTGAGGAAGATTGGCGCTGAGCTAACATCTATGCCAGTCTTCCTCTATTTTGTATGTGGGGTGCCGCCACAGCGTGGCTTGATGAGCGGTGCATAGGTCCGCGCCCGGGATCTGAACCAGCGAACCCCGGGCCACCAAAGCAGAGCATGTGAACTCAACCACTGTGCCACTGGGCCAGCCCCCTGTGGTACATATTTTAAACGTACATATGCATATGTAGTGCGTGTGTAATCTATACAGGGTATGTGCGAATGCAGTATTTTTAGCTTCTTCATTCTATAGTAGTAACATAGTAGTCATAATAGTAATTCTATAGTAAATTAAAATATCTGGCCAGTGTTGTAAAGAAAAAGAAAAAAGAATCTCTGCTCCTCTCTCCAAACTCCAGTCACTCCAGACTATAAGACAGATGCTTTCCTCAAAAATAAAATAAAATAAAATAAAATAAAATAAAATAAAATAAAATAAAATAAGATGAAATAAAATAAAATAAATAAAAAATAAAATAAAATAAAACTGAGCCCAATCAAGCCTCTATCTGGCCTGTCCAATATGATAGCCACTGGGGCCATTTAAATGTAACTTCATTAAAACGAAATAAAATTGAAGATTTGGTTCCTTGGTCACACTAGCCCCATTTCAAGGGCTCAAGAGCCACGTGTGACTAGTGGCGACCACATGGGACAGCTCAGACGTAGAACATTTCCACCATCACCAAAGTTGATGGACAGCACTGTTCTAGATCTAATATTCAGTTTACAAGAGAATCTGAGGGACAGAGGGACAAGATAAACAACGCTACAAAGAAGCAACTAGCCAAATTCGGAAAGTAGGAAGTTCTGCAGGATAAATGACTTGTTTTTTCCAATAAATACATGGCATGAACAAAAGGGAGGGGTGGACAGAGGAATAGATGTGTGATCAGGGCATGTAACTGAACCTTCCTGAGCCTTGGTTTCCTCATCTGTTAAATGGGTATAACCACAGTCCCTCCATTATAGGGCTGCTGTAAGAATCAAATGAGTTAATGATACTTATATGTTAATGAATATACATAAGGCTGAGCCCCACCCCAACTTGTCACTCCCGGTACTCACGGCAAAGTTCCTCACTCCGCCAGGGGTGCACGGTGGCCCCGGCAGCCTGGCACGCAGCAGCATAGGTGGCCAGTGCGTCACACAGAGGCTCCGTCTGGCCCTGCAGCAGGCAGCGGTCGTAGGCGCAGTCGCGAACGGCACCCTGTGGGTCCAGTGTGTCGTGGCACTCCCGGAAGGGCCCCTCAGGGTCGGCGAGGATGCCACACTCCTTCTTGCTCTGCAGCTGCTGGGCCACCAGGGAGTCCAGCTTGGGACAGTTGCCCGGCTCCGGGGCTCCGCAGCCCGGCCTCGTCTCCTCCTGCCAGCTTTTCCCGAAGGCCAGAGCATTGGCAGCTTGGCCCCCGCCCCGCAGAGCCAGGTCGTCACTTGAGTCCCCGTTGAAGTTCCCGCAGAGCCCGCACAGGGCCCCAGCATAGCTCTCGGGCACCTTGACAGTCACGTGGGCGTCCCAGTTGTAGGTGACAGTCAGGCCAAAGTCCGTGCTCACAACGGCCTTTTGGCCCTGGCGGAAGACCTGCACCTGGCCATCTGCCGCCTGGAAGGGCAGGTACTGAAGGACGCCGTCCACCTGGATAGAGATGCGGGAGGGTCAGGGGTCAGGGGATTCACGGCTCTGTGGCCCAGCCCTCACTCACTCGGCTCCCGCTATTCTGGGCTCCTTGCTATTCTCTTGAGCACATTATGCGTGGTCCCACCTCAGGGCCTTTGCACCTGCTGTGCCCTCTTCCTGGATTACCACCCATCACTCTTCACTTGGCCACCTCTACTTCATCTGCTAGCTGTCAGCCTTGATCCAAACCCCTTGTAATGGCCTAAAAGGCCCTAGATGATCTGAGCCTCACTACTCTCCAGTTTAACTCTCCGGTAGCACCCCATTCCCCACCCTTGCAACTCCAGCCATGCAAGAATTTGGGTATTCTCCTGAACTCACCAAGCTCAGCGCAGCCTCAGGGCCTTTGCACTTGCTGTTCCCTCTGCTTGTGGCATTCCTACCCTCTTCCACATCCCTATTCTTCGCCTGGCTGCCTCTCCATCATCCTTCACGTCTCAGCTGAAAATTGAACCCCTCTACCCACCAGGCCCTGCTTGTTCCCCCTTTTCTGACCTCACCTCCTACCAATCTCTCCATCCCATCTCTCCAACCTCACTCTCTCAGGGCAGCCCTGCGCTGTTCTCGTGCACGCTTCAAGCTCAGTACAGCCTCGGCCTCTGCACCTGTTGTTCCCTCTGCCTAGGAACCACCACCCTTCACCTGGTGGTCTCTTCCTTGTCCTCTCAGCTTAAATCAAAAGGCTCTACCATAGCCATTCCCTATATCATCCCTTACCTCGCTTTCCCCTCCCTCACTCCATTCCAGCCCCACTGGCCCTACCCCTTATGTCTGTTCCTGCCTCAGAGCCTTTGCACTTGCTGTTCCTTCTGCCTGGAACACCCTTCCATCTTCTTCTCTCCCTGCTTCCAACTCTCTCTTCAGGAGAGGCAATAGGATATGGTGGCTAAGAGTATGGACTCTGGAGCCAGACAGCCTGACTTCAAATCCCAGCTTTGCTGCTCATTAGCTGTGTGACCTTGCATAGGCAACTTGACCTCTCTGTGCCTCAGTTTCCTCATCTAACAAGATTAGCTATTTCCCAGAGTTGTTACAGAGATTAAACGAGTTACTGTATGTCAAGCATTTAATACCCAGAAGTGACTTAATCCGTGTTGACTATCATTATTCGAGCCTCAGTTTAAACGTCATCTGACAGAGGTGGAAACGTAAATATTAATAATCAAGCTCTCTGTTTATTGAGAAGCTTCTCTGTGCCAAACACCAGGCTTCCTTGGCAGAATTTCCTTTACCTGAAGGTCGTTCTGAGGATTACGAGTTAAGGCCTGGAAAGGGTTCAGCGTGGTGCCTGGACCATGGAAAGTTCTCTGGGTTTTCCATTTCCAATTCTTCCTCCTCCCCAAGGCATGGGCCACTGCCAAACTGCCCGATAATAATAATTAACTATTGTTGTGAATCTTACAACCACCCGCCTCTTGATTTTCATCTTTTCTTTAAAGAGAAAATCAGTGGTTCTCAACTTCTTCTGCTGGGTGCTGGGCCCTCTAGGAACGCTCTACCCAGAAACCTGCCACCGTCTGAGAGAGGGGCCCATCTGTAAGCCCCCTCATCTCTAGTTCCCAACCTTTTACATGTCCCCTGACTCTCTGAAAATCAATGTCCTCCAGAAAAGGCACAAATCTGTAACTGCAGAGGGTTCACAACAATAAGATATGAAGTCAGCATTCACTGAACACTTGCTGGGCGCCTTGCAAATATTAACTCATCAAATCCCTACAGCCACCCTGTGAAGCGGCTCCCACTGGGAAGGGACCCTCTTATTATTCCATTTGACAGAGGGCAAAACTGAGACCCTGGGAGACAAAGTCACACAGCCAGCGAGAGGCAGCACCGCCTGCCTTGGGGGCCCCCCAACCTTGACCACTGGCCATAGGTCTGCTAACAGACCCCAGACGCTCCCGGGGGCCCGGTTCCCTACCCTTTAGGGGGGATGTCCTGCCGCTCTCCCACACCCCGGCCCCGGCGCCGCGTCCTCACCAGCACTTGCCCCGGGTACTGCCGGCGTGTGGCCACCTTCACGCCGCGGGCCTCCACGATGACGGCGCGCGTGTAGCTCACGGTCTGGCTGCCGCGATGCTCGTTCTCCACCAGCACCCGAAAGGCGGGCAGCGCTTCGGCCTGGCCGCACGAGCCGGTCAGCAGGTACGCGCAGGTGCCCATGAAGTCGAAGCGCCGGCCGTCGAAGCTCACGTAGTGCGGGTCCCCGGAGCCCTGGCAGCTCCCGAAGCGGTCGGGGTAGCAGCCCTGCAGGCCGTTCTGGACGCCGCAGCGCTCGCCCGTCGGGCAGCCCTGCGTGTCGCTGCAGCGCACCTGCCGGGTGGCGCCGTCGCAGGTGCAGCGCCGCCGGCAGCGCTCGTCCGCCCACACCGCCTGGCCGGCTGCGAGCGGGCGGCCCTCGTAGACGCAGCCGCACGACGAGGCCGCCACGCAGGCGCCGCCGCTGGCCACGAAGCCCGGGAGGCACGCGCAGCCCTCGACGCACGGGCGCCCGGAGCAGTTGGCCGGCGCCGCCTCGGGGTTGCAGGAGGCCGGGCAGGCCGGGCCGCAGAGCTCGTACCGGCTGTTGGCGGGGCAGGACAGGGCTGCAGGGAGAGGGCAGGGAGGGTCAGGCCAGCGCAGCGGGGGCCGGAGGGGCGCGCCGTCGGAAGGCGCGCCAGCACTTCCCTCCCCAAACCCTGCGCCTCCCTCGGAGCCCCCATCTCAGTTAATGGCACTGCCATCCTTCTGGGTGCTAGGACCCCAAACCTCAGCTACATAGCTGACCCCCCTCCCCTTCATTCACTGGGCAACCTATCTGTCAGTACATCCTGCGAGCTCCATATTCCGAATCTATCCAGAATCTGCCCCCTTCTCCTCTCACCACGGTCCCCACCCTGGTCCTATCTACCCCAGCAGCCTCCTGTCTGGTCTCCCCGCTGCCATCCTGCCCCCACAGGCTGTTCCTCACCTGCAGCCAGAGGGGCCTTGGGAACACCTGAGTCCGATGACCTCCCTCTCCTGCTCAGAGCCCTCTTGAAGCTCCATCTTGCTCCGGGTAAAAGCCAGTATCCTCCCGGCGGCCCCTGAAGCTCCCCGCCATCTGCCCCCATCACCTCCCTGTCCTCATCTCCTCTCAGTCTCCCTCTGCCACAGTGGCCTCCTCCCAGGTCCTCACACTCCCACCTCAGGGTCTTTGCATTGGCGGTTCCCTCTGCCCGTATTGGCCTTTCCCCAGGAAGCAGGGCAGCATGTAGTTAAGAGGAGCCCAATGGCCTGAGTTCAAATCCCAGCTCTCCCTTTCTTAGCTGTGCGATGGTGGGCAGATGACTCCAATCTCCCTGTGCCTCAGTTTCCCCATCAGTAAAATGGGATAATAACAGTACCGACCTCACAGGGTTGTTGTGAGGAGTAACTGAGTTCATCTATGAGAGACACCCCATGAGCATCCTTATTACTCAGCTGACTCCTTTGCCTTATCCTGGTCTCTGCTCCGATTCACCTCCTCAGGAAGGCCTTCCCTGAGCATCCTTTTCATGAGCCTCCCATTTGCTCTTATTACGTGAACTTTGTTTCTTTCGCTCTCTGAAGATATTTCATAGTTTACCGCTTACTCTGGCTCCCGGGTGGGATATAAGTTCTACCTCAGTCACGGCTGAACCTCCAGCACCAAGGACAGGGCCTGGCCCCCCCGGGAGATGCGCAGTATCTACTGCGGAAGTGAACCAGTGGGTGAATGAACTCACTGCTTCCCCTTCTGCACGAGGCATAGGGGAACTCTGCGGGGGGGTGTTTACTGGGCAGCGGGGACACAGCTGTGACCAAGACAAGCCCCAAATGGCCTGTCTCCCCCAGACTCCCCCTCCAGAGTCCCTGTCTCAAGCCCTGGGCCTGGACGCCTCCTCCCCTCTCTCCCGTAGCCTTCAGCTTCCTGAACATTTCTCTGGGAACTCACGAGGGCGGGGGCAGGTGTGTGTCTCTCACCAGCACAGGGATGGGGCCAGCCAGGGCCTCAGGGGATGCTTCCTGAATGAATGAATAAATGAGCGAATGAATGATTAAGTGGCTGGACACCTGGCTGAGGACTGTGGACTTTACCCAGAGGGCATTGGGGAGTCAGGGAAGGGTTAGAAATGAAGAGAGGCTCACATGTCTGCTTTGGGTCTCTGAGGACTACCTCTCATGCAAGCTTTGCACATGTTCTTCTCTCAGCCTGGAACTCACTTCCTGCTCCCTTTTTTTTCTGTCTAATTCTAAGCCCACCTACGGGTCTCGGATTGGGCAGCCCTTCCTCTAGCAAGCTTGACCCCCCCAGGCCGAGTCAGGAAGCTTCTCTGGTCTCCCATAGCCCGCTTGAACTTCCCCCATCCCGGCCCTGACCACTCTGCCTGTCGGTGTCCAGTGCTACGTCTGTCCCAGCCTCAGGCTCAGTGTGGGCAGACCCCTGCCGTCTTGGCCATCTCCATGTCCCTGGCGTGGTCCAGCTCCAGGCTGACCCCCAATAAGTGCTCAGATATGGAGCCGAAGCAAGTGATCCCCTGCCCCCCACCATGTGCCCCCAGCCCCCACCGGGGCACCACTCACGGCAGTTGGCTGGCAGCCTCCAGTTCCCGACAGAGATGCCAAACTCCAGACAGGCCTGGGCGTAGGTGCTGAGGCTCCGGCAGAGGCTGGCTCGGTCCCCATTGAACACACACAGGTCGTAGACACACTCCTCCAGGAAGGCCTGGGGGGCTAGGGCGTCATGGCAGGCGGCAAAGGGCCCGTTGGAGAGAGTCAGCAGGCCGCAGAGAGATTGAGCCTCATAGTGCTGGGCCTGGCCTGGGGTGCAGGAGGGACAGTCGTCCTGGCAGCCGTCCTCACACAGGTAGTCCCCGTCGTCCAGCTTCCAGCTACTGGCAAGCTCCACGACGTTAGGAGCCTGCTCCCCGTCAGGCGTGAGGAAGTCATCGGTGGGGTTGCCATTGTAGTTGCCACACAGTCCGCACACCTGGGCTTGGAAGCGCTGGGGCAGGCTCACGGCCAGCTGGGAGTCCCAGTCGTAGGTGACCACCAGCCCAAAGTCCAGCTCCACCACGGCCTGTCTCCCGCTCTGGTACACTCGGAAGCGACCGTTGGCCAGGGAGACGGGCAGGCGCGAGCGCTGGTTGTCAATCTGCAGAGCGGGTGAGGACGGGGTAGTCAGAGCCCGGGTGGTCTGGCCATCAGCCCCTCATCTCCTCCCACTCGCTTCCCCTGCTCTAGCTGCCCTGGGATACCTTCCTCCCATTACCGCCACCGACTAAGCCTCAGGACCTTTGCACTTGCCATCCCTGAGGGCTGACATGTGCTTCCCTTAGATGTGCACGTGGGTCACCCCTTCACCTCTCCCAAAAGCTTTGCTCAAATGTTACCATCTCACTGAGGCCACCCCTGAGCACACTATTTTATATGGCACCCCCTCCCTACTCCCCATCCCCCGCTCTGATCTATTTGTTCCTATAGCTTCTAGCTTTCTAAAATATGATTTGCAAATTTCTCATGTGTATCATCTGTCTAACTCCATTAGACAGTCAGCTCCACGAGGACAGAGATTTTTTCTGTTTTGATCACTGCTTCATCTCCAGTGACTGGAACAGTGCCTGGTGGAAAAGCAGGCACTCAGTAAGTGAGTTCAGGGGCTGCTGCATTACATAAACACCCCCTGGGCAATCACTCTGTGCTGGTCCTGGGCTGGGAGATGCTGGAGGTACAGCGACGACCGAGACAACCCCAGACCCTGCTCTCATGGGGCTCCCAGTCCAATGGGGGAGACAGACCTGTCACTAGACAGTGACAGATCAGAGTGGTCAGGGCTGGGATAGTGGAGGCACAGAAGGCTGTGGGAGCTTAGAGAAAGGACCCGATGCAAGCTTGCAGGCCGGGAGAGGCTTCCTGGAGGAAGGAAGGTGAGCTGAGCTGTAAAAGTTCAGTGGGAGATAGCCAGGAAAAAAAAGCGGGGGGAGGGTATTCCTTTGCAAATGCCTCAGTGGAGAAAGAGTCTGGCCAGGAGATAAGGAATGTGTCTCTCTGTCCCCTGGGCCCATTTTCTTCTTCCTGAGCATCTTTCTTCACACATTCTCATCTTATCCAAGAGGATGGGGGATGAAAAAAGAGTAACAGGCAGAGGGGGCAGCAGGAGCAACGGTCTGAAGGTAAGACAGATCATTCATTCAGTCGGTCAGCAACGCCTCCATGAGCCCTCCTGTGTGTCCAGGTCTGTGGCAGCCGTGCTGCCGACACAGTAGTGACCAAGACAGCCCAGCGCCCCACACTCACAGGTTCTCAGTCCAGGGACCACTGTTCCCGTGTGTGTCTCTCCTGAGACCAGTGATCTCCATTTTTAAATGACACAAGTAATATTTGTTCATTACAGAAAACTTAGAAAATGCACTTGAGCAAAAATGAGAGAAGAGGAATAGTCCACATTGCTATAGACACACACACACACATTTATAAATCTTGCCAGGTTTTTTCCTACCTTTAAATACATTTATACTTTTTTTTTTTTTTTTAATAACGAGACCATGCTGACGTCACCATTTCATGAACTCCTCTTTTCTCCTAACAACGTCTTGTGGACAACCTGTCACGATTCCACCAGGAGCTCTAAACCTTTGTCAAGTCACTCATCTCTGTAAGGATCCGACAAAAGCCTGTGGGCCCCCTCCCTGAAAAATTGCACAGCGTGTGCAAAATTCTGCACACGATTTCAAGAGATCTGAAGTCCCCCTGAGCTTGTGCGCAATCCCTCAATCAAGAGCACCTACATTAGTCCACTTGGTTATTAATCTCATAGATCCCCCTGCACACTCAAGAAACAAGGGAGGTGCAGGAATATTCACTTAGGTACTATCTGCCATTGTGAACGAGGTGTCCATCCACAGGGGACTGAGTTAAGTGAGCTATGATGCAGCCATCCAATGGGGGAACCATGCAGCTGTAAAAAAGAGAGAGGGGGCTCCCTACACCCTGATACACAAAGAGCTCCAGAATGTACTGTTCAGTGCCAGAGCAAAGAGCAGAACAGAACATACCGCACAGGACCCTTCGTTAAGACAGGGGAAAGGTAAGCACGTATGTTTATGTTAGCTTGTATTGGCATAAAGAAACCCTAGATGAATTCTCAAGAAATCAGTAAAAGTGGTTACCTGGGGGGAGTGGGGGAAAAGCAGATGAAGATGGGGCAAAAGCAAGACCTTTCACAACATGCTCTTTTTGTTTTGAGCTATGTGAATGCTTAACCTATTAAAAGGAAATCAATTGCAGGGCCAGCCCCCGTGGCCTAGTGGTTAAGTTCAGTGTGCTCTGCTTTGGTGGCCCAGGTTTGGTTCCTGGGCGTGGACCTACACCACTCGTCAGTGGCCATGCTGTGGCAGCGACCCACATACAAAATAGAGGAAGACTGGCAACAGATGTTAGCTCAGGGTGAATCTTCCTCAGCAAAAAAAAAAAAAAAAAAAAAAATTAATCGCAGCAACATGGAAGAACCTCAAACGTATTATGCTGAGCAAGAGAAGTCTTACACAAAGGCTCCTTACCCTGTACAATTCCATTATTTGAAGTTCTTGAACAGGCAAAATTAATCTATGGTGGACAAAAATCAGAACTGTGATTGCCTCAAGGGATGAGCTGGGGATAGTTTGGTAAGGGGCATGAGGGAATTTTCTAGAATGATGAAAATATTCTATATCTTAATGGAGGCTTGGGTTGCACATTTGTCAAAACTCAGTGAACTGTACACTTAAAATTTGTGGGTTTTATTATACACAAATTTTATCTCAAAAGTAAGCAAAAAGAAATGTAAAAAAAGTGTATTCTAGTCAATGACAGGCATGTTGAAGCCTTTAGGGGTGACATGTACTGATGTCTGGAACTTACTTCGAAGCCCGTTAAAAATAAGACGGATTGTTGAACGGACGGAGGAATGAACAGATGATAGACGTGTGATCAGTCAAGAAGAGTGAAATGTTTAGAATCGGGGTTATTAGCATATGAGTGCTCACTGTACAAAGATTTCAACTTTTCTGGATCTTTGACCATTTTCATAATAACATGGTGAAAAAAGGGAAATCATTGCTCTGCGCTGTTATTTGTATCGGTTGAGTAGTAATCCATTTACCAGAGGCAGAACGGCCTAGAGGCTAAGAATAGGAACTCAGGAGCCAGCCTGCCTGTGTTCCCAGCTCCTCCTCTTACGAGCTCTAAGCACTTGGGAAGTCACTCATCTCTCGGGACTTTAGTTTCTCATCAACAAGTGTTAATAATAATAATGCCTACCCCCATAGATTGCTGGGAGCATTTAATGCATTTCTACACGGAAAGTGCTAAGAAACAAATTCAGCACAAACAATTTGGCGCTCACTAAATTTAGTGTTTGGTCTGTTAAGAAATTTCCTGGTAGGGGAATTCCCTGGCTGGTAGCATAGTGGTTAAGTTAGGCCTGGGTTGCCGGGGTTCAGATCCCAGGCACAGATCTACACCACTTGTCAGCCTGCTGTAGCAGAGACTCACATACAAAATAGAGGAAGATTGGCACAGATGTTAGCTCAGGGCAAATCTTCCTCAGCAGAAAAAAAAAAAAAAAGGAATTCCCAATTGTTGGACATTTTGTTTCCTTTCTTTTGCTATTATAAACCACATTGGCATAAACTTTTTTTTTCTAACAGTATCTCTGAGCATCCTTCAAATGTTTAGAAGTGGAATTGCTGGACCAAAGGAGTTTAAGGATCTGCCACTGACTTCTCACATCCCCTTCCCCAGCCCTGGCTCCCTTGGTCCACTTCTGTGCACCCTCCACCCCATGGCAAAGGGCTCATGTTTGAGGCCTGATACCCAGGCTTGGCCTCCTCCTTCTGACTGGCGGCTCAACGGTATGAAACCCTGCAGCCCTACTTACCCGGGCGAAGCCAACCTCCCCGCGGGCCAGCGCCACCGAGTGGCTGTAGGCGCGCACGGTCACGAAGCCCACGTAGGAGACGCGGCGGCTGCCCCGGTGCTCGTTCTTGGCCTCCACGCTGAAGGCGGGCAGGGTCTGGTCCTCGCTGCACAGCTCTGCCATCGTGTACGTGCACGTGCCCATCATGTCGTAGCGACGGCCGTCGAAGGTGGTGTAATGGGGGTCACCCTGGGCGCGGCAGGTGCCCACGGGGACCGTCACGCACTTGGCCTGCCCACCCGCCACCTGGCAGACCTGCCTCAGAGAGCACTGCACATCTTCGCAGGAGGGCTCCGGCGCCTTCACCAGGGCTGGGGAGGGAAGAGGATGGAGAACGGAGAAACAGTCAGGACTGTCCCCGCGGTGGGAGTCTTGGAGCGCCCCCGCGTGGGGAGCTTGGGCAGTTCGCTCATTTTAGAAGTGGGGAAACAGATCTGGAATCTCATAGGGAGAGAGCCCCTCAGACCTGACCCGATCCCTGCTTTTCTGACTCCCCAGTTTAACACAGCTCGGCCCAGAAGACCTGGAAGATAGTTACGTAGGACGGGCAGGAACAATCGTGGAAAAGCTAATTTGTGGTTTTTCTCTGTTTCCCCCTCTCCTCTACCTTCCCACTCAGGTCGAAAGGCTAAGGGATCTTTTTCAAGGACAGAAAATGAAAGGCAGAGACTGACTGTTCAAGGAATGGAAAGGGCGGAGGAAGAGTCAGGCTGCCTAGGTTAGAATCCTGGCTCAATCAATGAGCTGTGTGACACTGGGCCAGTAATTTGAAACTCTCTGGACCTGTTTCCTCATCTGTAACATGGGGTGATAATAATACCTTCTTCACAGGGATATTTGGGGAGGGGGGTGTTTCCAGGTGTTAATTGAGTGTTACCTGTCACCATTAATCACCTACTCCTTCCCCATTCTACTCTTCAAGCCCGAGTGGTCCTTGGAAGTTGGGTGGCTTCCAGGTCCCGGAAGGTGGGTGGGAGGGGCATTTTTGCCAGGGCTGGGAACCCTAGTGTCTAGGGTCGTAGCTTGAGGGTGGGGGGGTCCACATAGGAAGAAACAACTCTTCCTCGCCTGCCTCCCTGTCTTCAAATCTCGTGCCTTCTCTCTGCTCATAACAGCTCACCCTTACATAGCCCTACATACTTGCCAGTTGTCAACTCATGACACCCTCCCTACAGCCCTGTGAGGGGATGCAGTGATCATCCCCATTTTACAGATGGGGAAACTGAGGCCCACAGAGGTGAAGTCACATGCCCAAGGTCACACAAGTGGAGGCAGGATTGGAACCTGGGAAGTCTGGCCTTAGCATCTGTGCCCTCAGATACCACGCAGCACTGCCTGGGGGCGGCTCCTCAATGTGCTGAGCCCGGGGTGACACATAGGGCCAGGTCCTAGAGATGACTCTGTTAACATGTGCAAGGCGCCTAGAATGGTCCCTGGTATATTGAGAGAGAGCCCTCACAACACGGTAGCCATCATTACTATGAGACTGTGAGACCTCTTGAATTTGGGCATAAACATTCCTACATGAGTTAGCAGTTACCAACTGGTATAGCTGTGTATCAGTTGCTAAAATAGCAAAATATTTCCGAACTGGTTGGTAAGAAGCTGCTGACCTGACCCCGCCCCCTCAAGTCCCCCCTCTCGGCACCTTGGGTCTCCTGTAGGACCCCTTCCCCATCACTCCCCCAAAAGCAACAGACAAAAGGCTGGTGCCAGACCCCACGGGGGCTTCTGGGAGCCTGCTGCAGTGCTCGGGCTGGCTTCTCTTCTGACTGGTTGGGACCCTGGGTCACACCTGTTGCTAGATATTTATTATTCTTGGGGGCGTGGGTAGGGAGGGGCTGGGAAGCCTTAAGGAAAGGGAGGATGGCAGGGAGGATGGAGGTGAGCAGGGACAGCCCAGCGGAGCCAGGAAGCCACAGAGGAACAGGTGGGTGGGGAAGAGAAAAAGGCGAGAGCGTTGGCAAAGTGGTCACTAGGAGGACAGGGCCAGGGGTCTTTTCCCATCACTCACTATGGCCACAGGCAGCTGTTGTTCCGTAGCCCACAGCTGGGCCCAGCCCGAAGATGAGCAGCCCGAAGTTGGTGGCGGCCTCGGCCGTGTGGGTCACGTCAGCAGTGCCGAGGTCCACTTCGGCGTACGAGAACTCAGTGCCTGGTACAGCTGTCCAGACGACACTGGGCCCCAGCCTGTGCCCATCGACGGTCACCTCGTCAGCAGCCTTCGTCTGTGCCACTACCAGGGCCACACCCTCAGAGCCTGGTATGCTCTTGATCACATAGGCAGGGCAGTAGGCCGCCACGTCTGGGACCAGGACCAGGTAGGGGTCATAGGTCACTGCCCCCTTTGTGGCACCTGTGCCAAACAGCACGACCTGGATACCCACATCTGCAGACAGGTAGAGCGGCTGGGTTGGCCGGATCTCAAACTCTACAGAGTCACCCGCCTGGAGCGCACGGGAGCCAGGGGTGCCCCCGTGGTTGTAGGTCAGCTTCGTGGTCTGGCTGGCCACGACATAGGCCAGATCGAAGCGGGCCTGGGAGGCCAGAGTGGGCACCACATACTGAGTGCCCCAGGCGGACGTGGGTAGCAGCTGCTCCACCACGTGGTCGCAGTTCGTGTGTTTCTGGACACAGCTGTGGCCGGAGATGACAGCCACGGGGCTACTGGCTGTGACCTTTGACCCTGAGAGATCAACCGTGCTCTGTACCTGGGCTACCTGGTAGGACTCCAGAGTCACACTCAGGACGCTGCCCGCTGCGTAGATCTTGCCCTGGAATGTCACTGCCCCCTTCAGCTGCACACTGACGGAGGCCCCCGCTGCACCAGCCACCACAGCAAACTCTTTGAGATTCTGAGCTGAGGTGCCGGGCGGTGTGAGCACAAAGTACTCGGTGCCCAGGGCACGGACAGGCTGCAACCTCGTCACCTCCACTGTGTTGGGCTTAAAGTTTACGGCCTGCACGGAGATGGTGCGGTCAGAGTGGACCACCACCGCGTGCTTGAAGACTTTGCTGCCAACCATCTCAGCCTTGGCGCTAATGTTGACGATGACTGACTCCCCGGGCCTCACTGTGACATTCTGCGAGGTGCTGTCTGCCTGGCTGAGGATGGAGACTGAGGCCGGGCTGTCCGACAGGCTGGAGAGAAGGAGGTAGAGGTAGGACTTGCTGTACCCCGGCTGGTAGTTCTGCAGGAAGGCCGTGAGGAATTCCTTCCCCTCAGTGTCCCGTTGAGGGTCCACTGAGGCCTCCTGGGTCAACCCTGGGATAAGAAAATGAAGTTGTGGGTCCACTTATCCAGTCCTCCCCAGCAGAGAACCAACCCCTTGCCCCGTGTCTGGATAACAGGTTGAAATATTAACTTGGGCTTTTTTTCTCTCTTCTCTTTCCTTTCTCCTTGTCCATGCAGCTTTCACCCACAAACCTCTCTGCCTTCTGTTTTCCAAAGCTTTGGACAGAGGTCTCAAACTCAAATGCTGGTGGGCGCCAGGCAAGCAATATAAATGTGCGAAACAGTCCAGGTAGTGGCAGTAAGCTGGAGCCTTCACACACCAACAAAAGTGGGGTGTTGCTACCAGCTCTAGCCTGTTGTTATTATCACGGCTTGTGGGCTCTCCTTTTTTTTTTTTTTTTTATGCCAGATCTTACTATGTTTCAAGAGAAACTGGCTCTCTGAATTTCCTTGTGAAATCTCCAACCCAAAATTGTCTGAAGCACTGTGGGGCCCGCACCGGCTGGATTCAGCTGTCGGTTTGTGATTTCTGTCTTAGTAGGACTTGGGGGTATGTGTGAAGAGGGTAAAGGAAAGAAAAGGATTATGGGAGTCCGGACAAAATGTCTCCTAGAAATAGAGGAGAGTGGGGGCTTTTCAACACCCCCAACTAGGAAGAGATTCCTAGGGCTTAGGAGAGACAGAGCGATCTACGGGGTCTTGGAGAGAGCGTGGGGATCTAGAAGGCCTGTTTGCCGAATAAGGGGATCCTTGAAGGCTATCCCAGTGTCCCACGGGGCCAAGGGATCAAGACAATGAGCGATTCAGAAGTCACCTAAACAGATGTAGACTGGTGACTAATGTTCCATCCTTCTACCAGTACTTTAGCTTTACCTAAGACTCGAGTCCTGGACATAATCCTGGAGAATTGGGCACCACACCCTCCAAGAATGACTTTAGCGAGGCTTCCCATCACCTCAGCAGAATGAGGCTCAGAGTCAAAACTTTGGCAAAGTTGCAGAAAATCAAGTGGTGGTTCTTGCACACTTGAATTTGGAGACTAAGATTTTCACCCGCTTCCCTCCAGCACAGAGAGAGAATGGGTGAATTCTACCTCCTTTCTCCGCAGAACCTGAGGGGCCTCTCACCCAGCTCAGCTAGCTTGAGGTGGTGCTGGGAGATGGGTTTGTGGAGGGGGCACAAATGGAGGGTGCTGGCCCAGGTGGGCAGGGTTCTCCAGGCTGGAACAAGGACGCAGACGGGATCTCGGTCTGACTTACCGCACAGGAGGGTTGCTCCGGCCCAGAGGGTCCACCAGCTCCACAGGGAACCCATGTCTGCAGAGGAGAAAGAGAGGGGGTCATAGGAGGCTGGTCTGCCCCTCCTGCCAGGGACTGTCCTGGAGGGCCCAGTCTCAGGACAAGGGCCACCTGGGCACCAGGAAGGCTGAGGTGGACTGGACCCAAGGGCTAGTGTGTGTGTGTATCGGAGAGTTGGGTGCCAAGTGGGTCTAGGGGGCGGTTGGGGAAGCCTGGAGCCAGGGGCAAGAGCAGGGGACCGGATGTCCCACTTCCAGAGGGGACCCCGGCCTCTCTCACCTGCAGGTCCCCGGAGCTGCAGGGCGAGCTCCTGCCTTGGGCTATATAGTGGACTTTCTTGGCTCCTCGGCCACACCCTGGGCCGCCTGCCAAGCAGAGGATGCCAACTTCCCGGAGGAGGCTGCTAATTCCCGGGCCAGGTGGGATGGGGACACGGAAGCCCTGGGAAGGGCGGAGGGCAAGCCTGGATGCCTGGGTCCTGAGAGGGATGTGAGAACAGCTGGTGGCTGTGCCCTGGTCGCTTGCTGGAAATTTCAGTCCTGGAAGGGGTGGTGGCCCTGAGGGAAACAGCTGGGAAGCAGGGTGCTAAGGGCCTGGATCCCTGAGGGGTGGGGAGCCGGGGTGGAAGGTGACATTTGGTCTGTTTGCTGGTTTGATGGCCAGATTCCCTTCTTTGGCTCCTGCCAGGAATAATAGCAATGGACCCACATCCGGGTCCTGGCTGCTCCTCAGTCCCCACAAGCTGATCCCTGGCCCCTAGCCACCCACATCCTATTCCCAGCTACCATTAGGGGGCAAGTGTCTGGGGTGGGCAGGAATCTGAGCACCTGAGCCAGGCCTGAGGCGTGGGACACAAGACCTCCACCCCCAGTCCCACAGGACCTCCTAGGTACCTCGTCTGCCAAATGGGAACATCAAACCTAGTCTAACTGGGCTTATTGTCTCCCAGAGGGTGCTGTGTAGACTCTCCAGGACTGTAGGGGGGAGGCAGGCTCTTCCGGTGTGGTCTCAGGTGGGGAGCAGAGAGAGAACAGGGGGGCTGGGGCTGGAGCTGTGTGTGAAGAAGGATGGAGGCCCCTGTTTCCTGGTTCCATTCAGACGCCACCAGGTGCCCCTTCTTGGAGATTTATTTGTTTTCTGAGAGTTTTTTTTGGCATGAGAGGGACTGGCTGAACAGGTTTTGGGTGACTCTATGCCCACCCTCACCCCAGAACCTGTGTGGGATGGGAGATCGGGGTCTAGTTACACACACGGGAGCAGAAGAGACAGCTGAGAGGTGGTATGAGTTTTCTGAGATGGAGCTTGTTCCTCCCGAGGGGCTGGCCTGACCCATGCCCTAGTCCCCTCCTCCCAATCTTGGGATTCATTATTTGCTGAGGAGCCTATTCTGGAAACAGCAGCTGCAAAGCCTGGGTGTCCTCTTGGACAACACCCCAGCAGCTGCTGCCCCCAGGACTCCTCCTCTCTTATCACCAAGGCCTGGATCTCTGGGCAGCCAGGGTGGGCGGGGGCTCTGACACCCCCCAGGCAGGTCCTCAGAGGGAGAGATAAAGGCTCAGAGTTGGCTGGGACCCAAAGTCAACAAGGAAAATGAAGTGAGTAAACAGGAGACTGGGTGAAAGCCAGAGATACCAAGAAACAGGCAGAGGTAGGGGGCTCACAGGGAGTGAGAGCTTTGAGGTGAGGGGTGCGTGGGTCCCTGAGGAGTCTGGGGGTGGGAGGAGGGGACATGTGGGTCCCTGAAGGAAAGAAGGACCGGGAGGAGGGGCTGCTGGGATTTTGAGGAGGAAACAGCTATTGCAAACCGAGATGTCAAAAGCTTCTGTGTCAGATAGCCCTCTTGTAGCGTGAGACACTCAGAGAAATGAGGGGTGAGGGGGCAGAGAATTAGGATCAGCTGCAGGGGTGATACTGCCCCTCAATCTCCTCTAAGCCTTGAGGTCTCCCCTGGTTGACTCGAGAGAGAAGCCTTCCACCCTCAAAATCTGTCGTTGCTCTCTGTAGCCAGAGTCCCCAGCAATGGGGTAGGAGATCTCACAATTTAATACTATGGATTTGACACCGCCTGGACCCTCTTCTCCTTCCTTTCAAGGCCCCAGCTGTGGGCGTGTGCTGCGGGTGTGTGGGTGCCTGTGGTATGACACAGCCTGTGCCTTACTCCACATCATATCTACTCTCAGAAGCCCCACTGGTGATCCCGAGATAACCTGCGGGGACACTTCTTTACGGTCAGAGAAACCACATCCATCCCACCACTGGCAGCCTCGCCTCACAAGGGGTGTTTGTGTATCTGAGCCTTCTGGTCTATCCCTGCCAGCAGGATCTGCAGGGGGCAGATCGGCACTGGTTGTACCACTTGAGACCCCTGGGACCCTCTGTCTTGTCTGAGCTTTATAGACCCAGGGCACAGCCAGAGGAAGTTACTCTCTGCAGCTACATTCGTACTTGCTGGCCATTCCTAAGTTCATTCCTTCAAACTCTGGATCCCACAAGGGGTCTCTACACCTCCTTGAGGAACTCCTCCATCTTGCATAAGCTGTCTCTAACCTCCCCGAGGTTCAACCTTGATCTTGTTCTTCCCTTTGCCCAAGAACATTCCGTGCTTCCCTGATCTTTGAAAGCAAATCCCTAATTTTGGCAGGATTAGCTCAAACCCTAATCCTCCATTTCCTGCCCCTTCCACCTGCCATTATCTATGCGGTTCCTTCCCTTGGAGCACCCTTCTTCATGTTCTACCTGCCAGCTCCGTGGCTGGAGTCCAGACATCACTTTCTGTCTGAGTCACTTCCCGAGAACCCAAGCTGAGGCTAATCTCTTTCTTCCTATTCTTTGGAACTGGCTATCTGCTCTCTCACTTAATGGAAGTTCCCTTTTTTGTTTTAGCCACTCGAAACAGAGTCTTGCTACATCTATGTTTCGATTCTGTATCTCCCCACCAATCCCTCTCCCACCCACTACAATCTGACTCCCATGCACATTGAAACCGTTTTGGTAAACTCTCCAATGACCTCTTATTTGCCACTTGGTTCCAGCTCCTTCTCTGGAACATTTGACATGAACACTTCCTCCTTGAAAATTTCTAGTGCCTGGGCTTCTGTGATATCACTCTCTTCTGGATCTTGTGTTGCTGTGGTCTGTTTCCTACAAGAACCCCTTTAACACTGGTGGTTCTCAGATTCTCCTTCTTTGCTACTTTCTCTCACTCCCTCTTTTCTCCAGGAGATCTGGTCCACGTCTGCCGATGCTGTCTAATAGAACTTTCCGTGGTGATGATGATTTTCTGTATCTCGTGGTAGGCAATAACTACATGTGGCTATCGAGCTCTTGAAATGTGACTAATGTAAGGGAGGAACTGAATTTTTAATTTAATTTAATCGTAATCAATTTAAATTTAAATTTAAATTTAAATAACCACCTGTAACTTGTGTCCATATTAGACAGGACAAAACTCTAGAGCTGTTGCTAACACAAGCCCCATTTCATCTACCTATGTAGCTGCCTATCTACCTATCTACCTATTTATTTTCCTTTATACCCATTTTCCATTCCTATTGCCCCCTTATAAGCAACCATTCTAAGATGATTCATGAGAATATTTTTAAAAGGCTTATTGAAATAAAATACACATATGAATAAGTGCAGAGATAATAAATGTATACAGCTCATTGAATTATCTCAAAATGGACCCATCCTTGTGACCTTCACCCAGGTCAAGAAAGAGAACATTTCCAGCATCCCAGAAGCCCTCTCCGTGCTCCTTCCTAATCACTATCCACTCCTGACTTCCACGGGGAGCCACTATTTTGGCTTCTAACACCACAGATTATTTAGCTTATTTTTTGAATTTTACATAAGTGGATCATACGTCCATATTGTTTCATGACTGGCTTGTTCGACTCAGTGTTATCCATGTGCACGCAACTATAGTTCATTTTCATTGCCATATGGTACTCACTTGTATAAAAATCACTACGTATTTACCCATTCTACTGTTAATGAATGTGTGGGTTGTTTCCAGTTTGGGCTAATAGATACTATCTTTTGGTGCACGCGAGCACAATTTCTGTTGGGGTGTGCTGTGTAGTTCCTAGTGGTAGAATTGCTGGGTAATTGGGCTCAGCTTTACTAGATGCTGCCAAACATTTCAGTTTCAACTCCCACGATCAGCGTATGGCCATTCTGGATGTTTCACAGCTTCACCAATACTTGGTCTCGTTAGACTTTGTAATTTTAGCTGTTCTAGAGGTATAGTGGTATTAACTTGTGGTTATAAATTGCATTTCCTTGGTTATCAGTGAGGTGGAGCACTTTTTCATACATTTATTGGCCATTTGGATCTCTTCTTTGTGATTTGAGATTTTAGTAACGCATTTATTCAAGTCTCTTGCCCATTTTTCTCTTGGGTTGTCTACCTTTTTCTTATTGATCTGTACAAATTCTTTATATATTCTGGATAAAAGTCATTTTTTGGTTACATGTTTTCAAGCTTTTTCCCCACTGACTTATCTTTTCACTTTCTTAATGATGAAAAAAAATTGAATTCTAAGGTAGTCCACTTTATCAATCTGTATTGTTTTTATAACTGGCTTTTTTTTTTTTTATTGTGTTGAGTCTTCTAATCCGTGAACATTGTATTTTTTTTCATTTATTTAGATATTTTTGGATTTATTTCATCACTATTTAAAATTTTTCAGAAACATTATGGGGACAGGAAACAAGAATTCTGAGGAGACTTAGAGAAAACAGAAGAGGGACATGAGCCCTGTCACCTTGGCATGTGCTTGCCTCAAGAAACTAATAAACGCGCATTCTGAAGATTTTCAAGGGGACATTTTGTATTTGATGTGATGGTTAGTGAAAGTGAGGAGTGGGCAATGGTAGATGTTGACTCTGATGAGGAATGAATAAGTATTCCTCATTATTCTCAGGACTTGTGATCAGATATTGAAAGCCTTTTGTACCTGGGTGCCAGAGTGGATTCTCCTACCTAGAGTGAAAACATGGCACCACCCAGGAGGCGGAAAGAATGCCTCCCAGTCAGAGATGCCATTGTTTCTCTTCTTTGAGTGGCTGAAGCACTGTGGTTTGGTTATGCCCTACCCCAGATGTGCCCCTCCCCAGCAGCCGTAGATGCAACTGAAACACAGACTTCTTGGAAAGCCAGTGGCTAGTGGGGAAAATTACCAAACTCATGATTTCAAAGCTGAGTTGATGCAATTCTGTGAAAAGAAGCCTTTGGAAAACCTTTAAGTCTGAGTTAGGGGCCCCTAACTCACAGAGCTGGGCTCCCCCCTGCATCCTGTAAT